CCTGCGACGACATAAGCCGAGCGGGATTGTCAGTCTAGTGTACGTCGGGTCTCTGAAGCACAGTGCTGATGAAAGAGCAACGTGTTCTTTGTTTTTTTGGTTCTAAGTGCAACCTGCTGTGTGGGGTCAAAGACAAGAAAGGTGATATCAAGGGCCTCTCTGTACTACTCACCAAATGGGCAAAATGAGGATGAATCTTCCGTTAGAACATGGAAAGATACACCACCATATTTTGTCTTTTGTGCATGGGGAGCGTAGTGGAGCGTGGGCCCAAGGTAGCAAAATCAGGCGTTCGGGAGGAAAGGGACACCACGACGTCCAGGACATGAACCTGAAATGTGTAACATCAGTGCTGAGCTGGCAACCGGCTGGTTGAGCTACCCCTGTCCAACCGGAGCCGAACCAGCCCAGGGGGGGTGAACCGGAAAACCGGTTTTGAAAAAAAACAGTGCCCAAATATCTTTCTTTTTTTTTTTTTTTCCGGCAGATTTTGAATGCGCTCTTCGAGAGCTGTCGGAATCCGCAATAAAATTGTGAAGGCGCAATATTTTTCAGGGGGCTGGCTTCCAGTGGGGGGCAGGGGGTTATTATTGACATATTCAGGCAATTATTGGCTTCCATGGGGAGGGGTTGACTAAGCAAGTTCACTTATCTGACCCCCCCGTGGCTGGAGCACTTCGTGGAGTGGGTCATCTGATATTGATACCCCACGAGCTGAACCAGATAATGAGAGGAGGTCCTTGCCAGAACTTATAGCTCTTCCAGAGTATAGTTCAACAGCAGAACAGTTATGGGTCCTGCTTTCAGCTCATGGAGGCAGAGCGTTTTCTGTTTGTTCTTTTCTACATAAGGTGAGTTATCAGTCTGGAAGTATCTTGCCTGGCAGTCGGTCCAGATACATGTAGTGGAGCAAGGTTCATTCAAATGGATAGAGAGAAGAATATAGCTTAAGTCCATTCTTGGGCTTGCACCTCGGACGGCTCTGACATCACGATTTCAAAATCCGAACCCATACCTTTTTGCACAGATGGCAGGGACCTCGCAGAAGGATATAATCTCTCAGCAGAGCCTCATCACAAGCATAGTGATCCCCTCGTGGCTGCGGGTGAAAGAGCGTCAGATGTTGCCAATGGTAACTGGTCCGCTGGACCACAAGACGACAAATTGGAGAAGAGGCAAACCAACACACACCCACATCTTAAGAAAAATGTGTGGCGGTTCTCCGCTGCTGATCTGCAAAGATCAGCGGCGGATATCCTCCGCCCGTTTTTCAAAAGAGGTGGGCTCCAGGATTCCCCAACCTTTTTTTTTTCAAAGAGGCAGGGGCCTTCTTGGGGCTGGGCAATTGCGGGGATGCCCGAGACTCCCTAGTAACCCCCCCCCCACCCCCACCCCAGTGCAATGCACTGGACTCAACCGGGAGTCTGGCGGCCCGGTCCGACCAGCAGGCTCCCGGTCGGGTGCGGGGGCCCCGGTTCAACCGGGGACCAGCCCTGGCAACAATGTAATCAGCTTTCAGGTCTCTACGGCGATGTAAAACACACTTCCGCAGAATCCTGTCTGAATCTGGTGAATCAGAACGGGGTGTATTGGCTTTTGTTGGCACTGGCCTCTATAATGGGAGGCGGATTTCACATCAATCCGTTTCCATGTCCTAGTATTCCAGAGGCTGTACGACCATGTGCGGTACTCATTGGTACATTTGATGTGTCTAAAGTAAGTGAAATTCTCTCTTATAGTTGGTCCTTCAGTGATGTCTTTTGTGTCCCTCTCATACACGGAGAAAGGACCAGGAAGGGGGGGGGGAGAGAGAGAGAGAGAGAGAGAGAGAGAGAGAGAGAGAGAGAGAGAGAGAGAGAGAGAGAGAGAGAGAGAGAGAG